GAGCAGGCCGATTCCATTTGGCCATTCCAGTCTCCCTTGTCCCTGCTGGCAATATTATCTACTTATAATACTAATTACTACAGCTGCTGTCAGGGCCCGGGAAATGAGGCCCAAGGCAAAGGCGGAGCGGTCCATGAACGCTCATCAAGTAGTGTCGGTATCTCCCAACCTAAACCGGCAAGACAGCGAGCTCGTAACCCAATGAGTAGGATGTTGGAGAGTTCAAAGCTCGGTGGAACACCACTTGAGTCTGGGTATAACTGGCTGTCGACTGTTACTAAGCCAAAAATGGCCATTCCAGTCTCCCTTGTCTCTGCTGGCAATATTATTTGCATATACTACTCGTTACTGCAGCTGCTTTCAAGGTCCGAGAAATGAGGCCCAAGGCAGAGGCCGAGCGGGACAAGTGAACTCCGTTAACTGTCGGTGAACGTTCATAGCCTGGAGTATCTGTATCTATACTAACGGTCACCTCTGGTTGCATGTTAATCTACGTCCCCCGCCACGTGCAATCGAGATGCAGACTACCGAAAAATTCTTGATTCCTTTCCCTCTGTAGATAATTTGAGGGAGCAGAACTAAACCAATTACGAAACACCGGTGCAGTCGTGAAAAAAAATGTTTTTGATGTGCTGTGTTTGCTGAATTTGTTCATCCTCCTCTATCCTCCATTGTGCGGGTTTGTTGGACGTTTTCTATCTGTGACCCAAACACCGGCCAGCCTTTTAGACTGCCTTAAAAGTAAACGCCGGTCTCGCGAATACCCTCACAAGCATCTTCCTTCTGCTATTAGCCGCGCGCTGCTTCTCTTTCTCAGCATCATCCTGTTTCACTGTAGGCAATCTCCCCTCAAACAACAACACCCGCATAATAGTCGCCTCTTCGGATGGTCGCTTTGTGGTCTGTGGCGCCTCGCCCCGACCGAAAGGCGTCTCCCAGGTGCAAGCCTTTGACCTGCTACCCCTGGTTACCTTCCGATTGGCCAACCCCGGCGAGTCCGCAGCCTCCCTAGCGTGAGCTCTCACCTTCTTTTTCTCTCTCGTGTGGGCCCTTCTGCCTCCTTTTCATAGCTTACCAGCCAGTGTTTAGTTTTTCAGTTCTGTTTAATAATTGAGCTACCTCATACAAAGTCATAATAGAAATTGGAGTTGGTAGGTTAGGCTACAGTTGGTCTTCTTATTTTGATCTGATGAGTGAATGGGATTCTGAAAACGCCGCCAGTTTAATGCAGTTTATTTAGGAGAGGCATGCAGGATTTTGACGAAATTGGAAGTTACCGAACCTTTGCCTGAATTAGTTACCGTATATCAAACAAATTTTCTATGCTGTTTAGTATGACAATGTCAAACCTTTTTTAATATTTTTGTGCGATGGGAGATCACCAACATAAATAAGAAAAAATGTAAATACTTGCCTTCCAGCACTGGAAAATATAGTCTCACGTTGATGAAAATCAGGTGAAGGCAAGTTTAAGGAATCGCATTGTTTACGAGAGATAGAAGAATGCCTTATTTTGAAGGGGATACCAAAAAATTTTCAGCAAAAAATGGCTCCATTCACGGAGAATAAGGGATAAGGTAAGTAAGGGGTCATGGTAAAAGGTCATAGAATGCTCAAAAT